TGGCCCCACTGGTGGACCTCCTGATGGCACTGGTATTTCTGGCCACTGTATGACAGAGTGTTGGACTGGATGGGCCTTTGGCCTGATCCAACACTGGCGTCTCTTATGTTCTTACCCAGCCAAGGCATATAGCAGATATACTTTTAAGAAAACCTTAAAACAAAGAGATTAAACTCCAAGGCAGTATAGGAAATGAAAACAGAGAATGGAATTTAACAGAGCCATCCTACGGAAACATGCATGCAGCCAAAACAACGTTAAGCATGTTAGAGCAGCAAGTACCAAGAAGTCTACTATTATATTCAGTTGTTCCCTGCCCACCAAACAGTTTCGCAGCATGTAGTTCAAGCTGTATAGTGAGGGAGAGAGAAATGACAGCAAGGAGAAGGATTTTTACCTATCCTGTCCTGCATGGGGAAATATTTGGGGCAAGTAAGCCACTAGGCAGTCAGTGATCTAAGCAGGCCTTAAAAAGGTAAAGGTTCCCTTGCTCGAAAGCCAGTCGAGTCCGTCTCTAGGGTTGCGGTGCTCATCTCTGTTTCAAAGCCGAAGAGCCAGCGCTGTCCAAAGACGTTTCCGTGGTCATGTGGCCAGCATGACTAAACACCAAGGCGCAAGGAACGCTGTTACCTTCCCACCGAAGTGGTACCTATTTATCTACTTGCAATTTCTTGCTTTCAAACTGCTAGGTTGGCAGGAGCTGGAACTAGAGACAGGAGCTCACTCCGTCATGTGGCACTCAGGTCTCGAACTGCTGAACTACCGACCTTCCACAGCCTGCAAATTGGGGTAAAACAGGTCAGGAGGAAGAAAATTAAATCCAGGTGATGCCAGATGTTTTCTGGGGAAACCATTTCTCCTGTATTGTATCTCCTTAGGGTGCAGGGATGGGAGGATGCTAGATTTCACTTCCAAATGTTTTCCTAGGCTGGTCTTTAACTGGAATCCATTTTGAGTCACTTCTAGGCCAGGCAGTGTGTTGTATGTATGATATTTGGAGTGATATTCGATGAAGGGTGTTTGGACTTTTTTCTCTCTGGCTGCCAAACTACTCCTTCAGATCGAAGAGGAGTCTGACTGCTAACATTACCTGAGTGTGTACCCTGATTAACACAGTAAGCTTATGCTTCAGTACACAAGGACAGGGTTAGGCTACATGATGGGGAATTTACTTGCAAGTAAACATACACAGAATGACCAGAAAGGGGGAAACCTCATCATGACCACAGCTAAAGCACAAGCCTATTCATCTTATTTCCAATTAAGAAGAAGCTATTTCATGAAATAAACCACACAAGAAATTATGCAAGGTATTCAGCAGTTAACATACAAAACAAATTGAATCTATTTCCTCTCACGTCCTGGACTCAATCACTCTCACAACCAGTGTTCCCTCTAAGCTGAGCTAGCTCACAGTTTTTTTTAGTCTCTGGCTCACACATGTCTCAGCTCAGGAGGGATGGCTCCAGAGCAAATGAATTCATGCAGTAGCCAAATCGCTCACTCACAAATTTAATGCCGGTAGCTCAAAAAGTAGAATTTTTGCTCACAAGACTCCACAACTTAGAGGGAGCATTGCTCACAATACTCTTTTAGCAGCAAGATTTATTTATTTGGAGGTAAAGAGATTCCAAGCATACATAGATTCTGTGCCAGAATTGGCCACCAGATGCCAGGTCCAACCCTATACGATAAGCAGGACAGCCCCCCCTACACCAACCACACAATCAATATTCACAGTCACCTGCAAACTAACGGTTACATTCCAAGGTCAAGCAAGACACTGAGATCATGCAGTTCCCAGGGTCTCCCACGCACTACACAAGCTCAAGCAGACATTCACACCAGCATCCACTCCCCCCCCCATCCTGGCAGAGAAGATAAATGGTACTGGAGATAAAAGGTTTAAGAAAACAGTTAGCCCCTAACTCAACAGACCAGGAGTTTGCCTAGACAGCATTCTATGGCAAGCGAGGCTGGAGCTTGACATTTCCAAGCAAAACGTATTATTCAAAGCAACCCCTAATACTTAAACAGGTTAAATGCCATATTTTACATGATTGCACCTGTACTAAATCAACTTTGAGCTGACATACCCACCCTTACTTCCATTCCAAGTGAACATATTCCCAGCTTGTTCTTATATTTTCTTTCCCATTAAGTGTGAGAGAAGGGATTATTACTTACTTTAAAATCCTCAGTGGTACATCCACATCAACAAGTCATCCCCCACAATGGCTTGATGTCAGCTTCAAACTCCAGCAAGATGTCAGTCACCTCCTTGATAAGAGAGCTGCAAGCTCAGCATCCTTTGCCACACCAGATTTACCACAGTCACCTAGCAATCAAAGGAAGCGGCTGCCCCACCTGGTAGAGATCAGACAGGGTCAGTGTCCTCTCTTTGAAACACAGGTGTCTCTGACGGATTGAACTCTGTAGCTGCCAAAGAGTTAGCCCAGAATTGCCAAGAGGCAAGGTTCTCATTGGCATGACCTGCTATTGTCCCTCCTGGCCATATCAAATCTTTCCTTATAACCGAAGGAATTGCTTATTTCAGATGTTTGTTATTTATGATTGGCATGACTTGGGTTTGCTTCAGGTAAGATCAAAGAATCTCTTCCAATCTCACCTGAACACCTCAGTCTGATCATGTAGTTAGGAGAAAAGGCAGGGCTGCAAAGCCTTAATGCTGTTTAGCTGGCTTGGCCTTTCCTGCTCCTCAGCTTTACAGCAATTACATGGTCTGCAATTAGGGCCGCCAGGTCCCTCCAGGTCACCCACAGGGGATGGGGGGAAGGTTGCCAGCTCCTGGCTGGGAAACGCCTGGAGATTTGGGAGGGGAGCCTGGGGAGGACAAGGACCTCAGAGGGGTACAATGCCCTAGAGTCCACCCTCCAAAGCAGCCTTTTTCTCCGGGGGAACTCATCTCTGTAGATCAGAGGGTCCCGGGTCCCACCTGGCAACTGGCATCCTTAGGCATGAGCCCTAGATAGCAGATAGATCCCCCCCAGTTGCCACCAGTGTCCCCTCTGAGTTAGTGTGAGCTAGCTCAAAGTTTTTTAGCTTCCTGGAGAAGGAAATGGCAACCCACTCCAGTACTTTTGCCAAGAAAACCCCATGGAAAGTACCAAAAGGCTAAAAGATATGACGCCGGAAGATGAGCCCCTCAGGTCGGAAGGTGTCCAATATGCTACTGAGGAAGAGCAGAGGGCAAGTACAAGTAACCCCAGAAAGAGTGAAGCGGCTGGGCCAAAGCCGAAAGGATGCTCAGTTGTGGATGTGTCTGATGGTGAAAGGAAAGTCCGATGCTGCAAAGAACAATACTGCATAGGAACCTGGAATGTAAGATCTATGAATCAAGGTAAGCTTGACGTGGTCAAAAATGAGATGGCAAGACTGAACATCGATATCCTAGGAATCAGTGAACTAAAGTGGACAGGAATGGGCGAATTTAACTCAGAAGACCATTATATCTACTACTGTGGCCAGGAATCTCGTAGAAAAAATGGTGTGGCCTTTATAGTCAACAAGAGAGTGCAAAAGGCAGTACTGGGATACAATCTCAAAAATGACAGAATGATTTCTGTCCGATTCCAAGGCAAACCATTCAACATCACAGTAATCCAAGTCTATGCCCCAACCACTGATGCAGAAGAGGCTGAAGTGGACCGGTTCTATGAAGACCTACAACACCTCCTAGAACTAACACCAAAAAATGATGTCCTCATCATCATAGGGGACTGGAATGCTAAAGTAGGAAGTCAAAAGGTAACTGGAATAACAGACAAGTTTGGCCTTGGAAAGCAAAATGAAGCAGGGCAAAGGTTAACAGAGTTTTGTCAAGAGAACACACTGGTCATAGCGAACACCCTTTTCCAACAACCTAAGAGGCGACTCTACACATGGACATCACCAGATGGGCAACACCGAAATCAGATTGACTATATAATTTGCAGTCAAAGATGGAGAAGCTCTATCCAGTCAGTAAAAACAAGACCTGGAGCTGACTGTGGTTCAGATCATGAGCTACTCATTGCAAAATTCAGACTTAAACTGAAGAAAATTGGGAAAACCACGAGGCCATTCAGGTTTGACCTAGATCGCATCCCTGATGAATATACAGTAGAGGTGAAGAATAGATTCAAGGGTCTGGATTTGATAGATAGAGTGCCTGAAGAACTATGGACAGAGGTTCGTGACATCGTACAGGAGGCAGCAATCACCACCATCCCAAAGAAAAAGAAATGTAAGAAAGCAAAGTGGCTTTCTGATGAGGCTTTACAAATAGCAGAGGAAAGAAGGAAAGCGAAAGGCAAAGGCGAAAAGGAAAGATTTACCCAACTGAACGCAGATTTCCAGAGAACAGCAAGGAGAGATAAGGAGGCCTTCCTGAATGAACAGTGCAAAGTAATAGAAGAAAACAATAGAATGGGAAGGACTAGAGATCTCTTCAAGAAAATTGGAGAAATCAAGGGAGCGTTCCATGCAAAGCTGGCCATGATAAAGGACAAAAACGGTAGGGACCTAACAGAAGCAGAAGAGATTAGGAAAAGATGGCAAGAATACACAGAAGAACTATACAAGAAAGACCTCGATGTCCTTGACAACCACGACGGTATAATCACTGACCTCGAGCCAGACATCCTGGAATGTGAAGTTAAATGGGCCTTAGAAAGCATTGCTAACAACAAAGCTAGTGGAGGTGATGGTATTCCAGCTGAGCTATTCAAAGTCTTAGAAGATGATGCTGTTAAAGTGCTGCACTCCATTTGCCAGCAAATTTGGAAAACGCAACAGTGGCCACAGGATTGGAAAAGGTCAGTATACATTCCAATCCCAAAGAAGGGCAATGCCAAGGAATGTTCAAACTATCGCACAATTGCACTCATATCACACGCTAGCAAGGTCATGCTCAAGATCCTACAAGCTAGGCTTCAACAGTACGTGGATAGAGAACTACCAGAAGTACAAGCTGGGTTTCGAAGAGGTAGAGGAACTAGAGATCAAATTGCCAACATTCGCTGGATTATGGAGAAAGCAAGAGAGTACCAGAAAAATATCTACTTCTGCTTCATTGACTATGCTAAAGCTTTTGACTGTGTGGATCACAACAAACTATGGCAGGTCCTTAAAGAGATGGGAGTACCAGACCACCTCACATGTCTCTTGAGAAACCTGTATAAGGGCCAAGAAGCGACAGTTAGAACCGGATATGGAACAACTGATTGGTTCAGCATAGGAAAAGGAGTACGACAAGGATGTATATTGTCACCTTGCTTATTTAATATATATGCAGAGTACATCATGCGAAATGCTGGCCTGGATGAATCACAAGCGGGAATTAAGATTGCTGGGGAAAAGATCAACAACCTCAGATATGCAGATGATACCACTCTAATGGCTGAAAGTGAAGAGGACCTAAAGAGCCTCTTGCTCAGAGTAAAAGAGGAGAGCGCAAAAGTGGGCTTGAAGCTCAACATCAAAAAAACTAAGATCATGGCATCCGGCCCCATCACTCCTTGGCAAATAGAAGGGGAAGTCGTGGAAGTAGTGACAGACTTCACGTTCCTGGGATCCCAGATCACCGCAGACTGTGACAGTAGTCATGAAATTAAAAGACGCCTGCTCCTTGGGAGGAAAGCGATGGCGAACCTAAACAGCATGATAAAAAGTAGAGACATCACCCTGCCAACAAAAGTCCGCATGGTCAAAGCAATGGTATTCCCAGTAGTCATGTATGGCTGCGAGAGTTGGACTATAAGGAAGGCCGAGTGCCGAAGAATAGATTCTTTTGAACTATGGTGCTGGAGAAGACTCTTGAGAGTCCCTTGGACTGCAAGAAGATCAAATCAGTCAATCCTAAAAGAAATCAACCCTGACTGTTCCCTGGAAGGCCAGATAATGAAACTGAAGCTCAAATACTTTGGCCACCCAATGAGAAGAGAGCACTCCCTGGAGAAGACCCTGATGCTGGGAAAGATTGAAGGTCAAAGAAGACGGGGACGGCAAAGGATGAGATGGTTAGACAGTGTCATAGATGCAACGAACATGAAATTGAGCCAACTTCAGAGGACGGCGGAAGACAGGAGGGCCTGGCGGGAGATGATCCATGGGGTCGCGAAGAGTCGGACTCGACTGTGCGACTGAACAACAAACACACATTTTTGTCTTAGCTCAGGAAGGATGGCTCCAGAGTGAACTAGTTTATGCAGCAGCCAAATTGCTTGCTCACAACTTTAATGCCCGTAGCTCACAAAGTAGAATTTCTGCTCACAAGACTTCATAGCTTAGAGGGAGTACTGGTTGCCATACATTCGTGTCTCCCAAGAGGTGGTAACCAATACTCCCTCTAAGCTGTGGAGTCTTGTGAATAAAAATTCTACTTTGTGAGCTACTGGCATTAAAGTTGTGAGTGAGCAATTTGGCTCCTGCGTACACTAGTTTGCTCTGGAGCCATCCTTCCTGAGCTAAGACAAAAATGTGTGAGCCGGAGACTAAAAAACTGTGAGCTAGCTCACACTAACTCAGCTTAGAGGGAACACTACCCAGGGGGGCCTCTTCTTTCCCATACCTGGGACCCCCGTAATCAAACTCCTGCGACCCGCCTCATAGCAGCCAAAGCATTCCCTTAGGCATGCCTGTACCACGGTACAGTCTCACTGCAGGGCACTCTTTCTACAGCTTTCCCGCCCACTTCCAAATTAAAAGACGAGGAAAGCAGCGCTCTCCCTGCTTCTGTGAAATCTTCCCAGGCAATGCAGAAAAGGGAGCCTCCCTCAAAACCAACAACTCCCCAGGCGACAAGATACAGCAGCGGGAGGGGGGGGGAGCCTTGGGGAGCCTTCCCTTGTGCCGCGCGGCCCTGACCCAAGCTCGAGTCTCATGCTTGCTTTTGAAAACGGAGTAAAGCAACCCCGCTTGGCAACCCACTCACCGAACTCCCGGCGCCACGCGTAACTCGACCCTAAGAGCCAGGACGACGGCACCACCGCCAATGTGCAAAACAAGTCTTCCTCCTTACCGAAGGCCACCCGAGCCGCGGGTTCTTTTCAAATCCAACCAATAGAGGCACGTTGAGCCGCGAGTCTCATGGGAATGCGCCATGGAGCTTGCTGGGAAAGGTAGTTTTCTCTGCAGATGCGGTATAGGGGGTGGTGGTTCAGCGCGAAGCTCTTTTGAGAAACTCCTTTACAGACGCTCC